ACAAATCGCTTCTGCTGTGGAGTATAAGAAAACAAATTCGGATATTCCAGAAATTTCCAGATTATCCACAATTCACTTCTGCTGTGGAGTAGGTCCAAGAATGTGTTAGAAAACAAATTCGGATACTCCATAGAATGAAACAGGAAGGGTATGGAAACTACGAATTGTGGGATAGATAAGGCTTGTTGTACCAATATGGCGCCCGGGGAGGGCGGCGGAAATTACGTGCTCCAGAACTCGGGGGACCGTGCGCCCTGACGACCGTGGACAATAAGAAGGAAAGTGCGTATGGACACGGACTATATTGTTGTTTTGTTTTTAATGGTATATGCACTTGGTAAAGTTCCGATTGTCTTTCTTCAGCCTATTTTATCTACAGATCACCTTCTAATACCACACATTCAATTTGGATGCGTTAAAATGAGACTTAAGCAAGTACTTTTTTTAGATACGTAGCTGCATTTGTTAGAACTTTGTTACAACTCAAAGGACCCTACTTACACAGAAAATTCGGCCTTACCGATCGTGAAAATGACTTGGCAATGTTGACATTATGTCTAACTGCCCCCTTTCCAAAGGACAGAAGTGTATTGGTTTCAACACTCCCAGCAATTTGATCAGCAGGTGTAGATATCACCAAAGTCGCATGTATAAGTAGCACTTATATTTCTACAATATATGAGGGAATACTGAGCCTATCCATGCTTGTGATCAGAACACCTGCAAATCTGGCTAAAATTTGGGTAGCCATTTTGTTCACACTAGGCCACTTTCAATGAATGAACAAATTGTGAAAACTATAACTAATATTTCAAAAATGACTGTGACTCAAAAGTACTTATATGTCCCTGTCACACTGTGGGGGGGGGGGGTTATCAAGTTCATGCATGGTTTTAACAAAGAAATATAGACTTTGAAAGTTGACCAAAATAATGGCAGCCATATTAGTTACACCCAGCAACTTTCCAAAATTGGCCGAAAATTTAAAAGATGTGTGATTTAACAAAAATACTATGACTCAATAGTACATATATATCCCTAACCCCTCATGGAATGTCAAGTCAATTTATGCTTTTGATAAGGAAATATTCACTTTGAAAAGTTGACCGAAATAACGGCGGCCATATTGGTCACATCCAGCAACTTTCAAAAATTGACCGGAAATCTAAAAATATGTCTGATCTGGAAAAAGTACTTTGAGTCAATAGTACTGATATGTCTCTAATCCACGAGGGAATGTCAAAACAATACATTCATGTGGTGTATAGTGTGTGTAGGATTGGACAGCAACATTCGTTAGACAGTCCTTAACCCTAAACAGTACACCTGGGGTCCACGCGGACCCCAGCACTATATATCCTGTAATATTTTTTTTTTGTTTCTAAAGATTTTTTTTCTGAAATTTCGGGTAATTGTCACCCACAAAGTTGTCCCTCAATACAGCGCAGAAAACTCAGTTTCCCCCATTTCAATTTTTTTTTTTATATCTGATTTTCTTTTGGGGTCCGCGCGGACCCCAGCCGGCTTTCGATCGTAATGGACACACTGGCGTTCTTATACATAACTTTATTTCCGTTTTTATATGCTTTTATGCACTTAACGTATGGCCACCAGAGAATGGTGTACTAATGAAAAAACTCTAACAACTTTGGTGGAATTATGACGTCATATGACGTCAGAGCTAATAATATGGTCCGCCATTTTGAATTTTGACCAATGACGTCATCAAATTAGCATACATTATGAATATTAAACGATTTAACCCATCTTTAATTACGTAAGATGTTATTGATGTCAGAAAATAAGTGTTATTTAATATAAAACCCAGAAAATTTTTATGTTTAAACCAAAATTACTGATTTTCCCCTAAAACTGCCTGTCAGAATCCCGTTGCCATGGCAACAACAAAAATCATTAACTTATTTAACCAATACGAAATATTTCTCAGGTATATTTTACGACAGCTCAACAAATTTGATGGTTCTAGGTCAAGCCGTTCAGGCGCTATTTGAGATTAAAGTTGGTGCGGGCCTCAAAAAAAACACTCGGTCTGAATAGGGTGTAAAAAATCGGATATTCCTTCTTTTTGTCTTTTACTCACTAAAAAATAGTAAAAGGTCAAAATGTATAATTTTTGTACATAGTGTGAACTCAGAGATTCACACATCAATTTGCAAAACAATTGAGCTGGTAGCATGTTGATAATTTCTAAAAATTAGCCAAAAACTGCTCTGGGGTCCGCGCGGACCCCAGGTGTACTGTTTAGGGTTAAATATGATGACATGTTTTTATTTCACTCCATAGACACCATAGAGTAAAATACTGTCTTTCCTCATGTTTCTTCTTCTCCTCCTCCTTCTTCTTCTCCTCCTCCCCATTTCTTCCAATTGATTCAACTCCTTCATTTTTGGGCCAAATAACCTGGAATTTCGTATAGAGGTAGAGTAAATAAATACCCCCAGGAGTTTTTTAAATGTTTTTGATACAAGCTTTTATAATCGTCTTAGTTGGATTTTTGGCGGTTTCTATCGGCAAACTGTACTGGGGTATGTTAGGTGTAGCAAGAATGCGCAGGTGTGATTCGACTTCCTCATTGGTTGTTGGTGTAATTACGCAAAATCCCCACAGCCAATCAGAGAGCGCCCAACGTCATGACGTCATTTGGCCAGCTGCATGCAAACCAAGGTCCGCAAACCAAAACACGTAAGGTAAGACAGTTTTTAACCGTAAATATTTCCAACAATTTGTAAAGTTAGCAATCTAGGATTTGGATATATAAAAATATGCATCCTAAGGAACAGTTTGATTTGTGTTTTTTTGTACTTTTGAGTAGAATTAGCGCCGCGGCGTGCACGAGAACGTCGATTCTGTACTACAGTATGTAGCGTCGGGGTGGGAGGGGGGCGTCACTTGCGTACGCCGGGCAGTTTCTATCGTAAAATCTTCGTAAAATTTGTAAATATACTGGTAACTGTAAAAACCACTATCAATATTTTGAAACATACATCCTAGTAAACACTGAAAAAACACTGGAAGCCGGGTTCCCAGCACTCCGGCCCTTTTCAGGGCCACAAATCACTTCCAGAGGATAACTTTAACGTTATCTTTCATTGTCAGAAATAGTTGTTCGTGATCACGTACCTATAGAGTCAATTCCGCGTCACCGTGTCGGCTGTTATTGTCATTATTTAGAAATGCTTCCAATTCTTTGTAATTATTTGTCCAAGTTTCAAATTTTTATAGTTTGGAAATATTTTGAATATTTTTTAACGTTCTAGATAATTCACTGGTTTTGTTAAACTTTTGAAATATTCCTGATGTGGAATATGGCATTTCAAATAGTTTTTAGAAATATTTCTAACAGCATTTTACCATTTTTTTACCAGCCATTATTTACAATTGTTTCTAAAATTTTAGAAATAGGTAAGTGGGCTGGGAAGAAAGTGATTTACACATCCCTGTGAAGTACAGGGTAGTCTGCCTAGGCGTCATGCATGGATGACTTACTACAAAAGAGCCACTAGTGTCCAGCAGTGAAATCCATAAATATACAGAAGAGTCAGATTAGCACCTACTTTTATGGGGGCAATAACCCACACCTACCATTCAGTTATTTGTTAAAAACACATAGGTACTTCAAATT